TCAAGTAGTTCACTTAGGTCATCTTTTAACTCAGTTGCGTGTTCAAGTTCCTGTTCCATTTAACCAAAGCTTTTTATCATGGGAATTCTCTTAAGGTTCTTCTTTATCGTTTCTTTTGATACGTGTATTATTACTTGGTATTATTCACTTATGGAAATGTAGCAGTCGCTGAGCAGCTCGGTTGAGCTGGTTGCAATAATTAATAGTAGCCCTGTAGGGCCGTTGTTATTGCGCTACATTTCATTCGTTCAAGTTTTCTTGTTATTGTTCAATAGCAACTATAGGTTCCCATTGTTTCCGGTCGTAATAGGTCTTCAACAAAGCGGTATTGAATAGTGCAGCTATTACTTTTCCTTCCAAGGTCCTTAGTTTGTAGGCTCCATTTTTCAAAATATCGTGGATGTAATATGGTCCTTTCCACTTGGGTTTTAGTTTTCCGGTAAAATGTTTATCTCTCACCGCATCATAGAGTAACACCTTGTCTCCAATTTTAAATTGTTTGTCTCCTTTAATTTTCAGGTTGTGTCATTCCTTTTGTTTTCTCTGGGTCATTTGGATATTTTTCTGGGCAATTCCTCGGTTTTGTGGCAAGGTTTCAATCGGATTGAATAATCAGGTTAAGATATTTCCTTCCATAACTTCATCTATATTCTTGTGGGGCATTATGGGTTTCCGTCCATAAATAAGATAAAAGGGTGTCATTTTGATGGATACTTGTTTGGCGGTTAGATATGCAAAGAGGGCAGGTGCAATAAATTCATCCCAATTTTGATTTCCTTCAGTGATTTTCGCTAATGACTCACATAGTGTTCTATTGAATTGTTCAACCAATTCATTTGTTTGAGGGTGGTATGGGGTGGAATATAAGTGTTGAATTTGAAATTTTCCTAATAAAGCTTCTACTATTTCATTTCTAAAATGTGTTTCTCGGTCAAATAATATTTGTTTTGGACATCCATGTCAGCAAATAATAATTTGATAAATAAAATCTGCAACTCATTGTCCTGTTGCTTCGGATATTGTTTCAGCTTCTGGCCATTTGGTTAAATAGTCAGTCGCCACAACAATATATCTATTGCCCTTGTTTGTAATTGGTAATGGTCCAACAATGTCGATTCCTATTTTTGAAAATGAATCTCCAACCGATATAGGATGTAAAGATCCAGGAGTCCTGAATTTTCCACGTCGTTGACATTGATCACAGGTCCTGATATATTGCTTAATATCCTCAAACATTTGTGGCCAGTAATATTGGTCACATACTTTGTTAAAGATTTTGTCTACTCCAAGATGTGCGCCAGTAGGGTGATTATGTAATAGAAATAGTATAGATTTCAATTCATGTTTTTGTAATACTTATAGTAATTGATTCCTAGTTTTCTTTCATTGATCCTTTTTATATAATTGGTTGTTTTTCACTTCAAAGAATTTTGCCTTTGCTTGTAATTGTTTTTGTTGATGTGTATTTAAATCGTTGGGTAATTTGTTGTTAAGAAGATAGTTTTTGATTTGCCAATATTGTTGTGAATCCATTTTTTTTTTATGTTTTTGCCAGGACACCAACAACCTGGACTGGATATTATTTATCGTCAGATTGTTATCTCGTGTTATCTTTTCCAATTAATGTTGTTCCGAAGGTAAATTTTCAGTTTCATACATTCAGAACATAGCATCAGCATTGTTGTGTTTTCTTCCAGATCAGTAAATAATAGTGAAATTATAGGGTTCCAAGCGTAATATCCATCGGACACGTCATCCTTTTAATTCAGTTGTTTTTAGCCATTGTAGTGCTGAGTGATCGGTTATCAAATAGAAATGATTGGTTCCCAGATATTGGTGAAAGTGTTCTATGGCCCAAATAATAGCAAGACATTCCTGTTCGATTACTAAGTAGTTCAGTTCAGCCTTATTTAAGCTTCAACTAGTGTATACAATTGCATATTTCTTTTTATCTTTTTTTTGTGCTAATATTGCTCCAATTTCTGTACCTGAAGCATCAGTATATACATAGAATGGTTTGGAAAAGTCTGGATATCTCAAGATGGATGAGATAATTAATAGTTGTTTAAGGATTTCAAAAGCTTGTTGTTGATCATTAGTCCAATTAAATATTGCTCCTTTTTCCAGTAGATTATTGAGGAGTCATGCAATCGTTGAAAAATTCTTGATAAATTTCTGGTAATAGGAGGCTAATCCTAGGAATCTTTACAATTGTCTAATATTAATTAGTCTTGAAAAGTTTTTCACCTTGTCAATTTTCTCATCGTCAGGTTGAATTCCCTCACGGTTAATCACATGACCTAGCAATTTAACGCTTGCCAGGAAGAAATGGCATTTTTCAGTATTTATCTTCAGATTTGCTTGTCTCAGAACATCCAAAATGATCATCACATGTTGGCAATATAGGTCAAATGTTTTTGAGAAGATAGTGATATTATCCAAGTATACTTCTATGAATTTGCCTCGATAAGGAGCCAAAATTTTGTCCATTAGTCGTTAAAAAGTAGCTGGTACGTTGCATAGGCCAAAAGGCATAATGTTAAATTCATATAATCCATATTTGGTAACAAATGCTGTTTTGCTTTTGTCCTGATCATTCATCACCACTTGCCAATATCCACTAGCTAAATCTAGACATGTGAACCATTGAGCTCTATTGAAGATTTCCAATAAGTCATTTACGATTGGCATCGGATAAACATCCTTGACCGTTACTGAGTTTAGCTTCCTATAGTTCATACAGAAACGGAATTTGTTGTTTTTCTTTGGTATAATAACTACAGGTAAAGATCATGGACTAGTAGTAGGGCTGATAATTCCTCACTTTAACATTTCCTCAATCTCCTTTTTAATAAATTCTTGTTGATCAGGGGATGCCTTGTATGGTCGTTGCTTGATTGGAATGGCGTCTCCAGTGCTGATACAGTGTGTAACCACTGTTGTTTTTCCTAGATTACTTGTTTGTCTTTCTTTTGAAATATTATCTGCAAAAATATCCTTATTGTTGTCCAATATCGTTTTTACTTGTTCTTGTTGTTCCTCAGTTAATACTCCTTGTGTTACCTTGGGTTCTTCCTTAGTTTTGGTGGTGTCAGTCAGAAAGACTGCAGGATTTTCATCCTCACTTTCCAAAATTAAATCGGAGGTATAGGCTTCCTGTTCTTCAAGGTCATCTTCGGTTTCATATTTGATTTCCTCTAATAATTGGTCATTATCCTGCTCTTCGTTACTTGGTAATTGAGGAGGAATATTTGCCAGATGTGTGGTTTCAATTTTTATTTTTCTTCCTTGATATGAGATTTGTAGGGTTTGTTGATTAAAATCCCATTTGGCTTTCATGTGTTCCAACCAGTCGGTTCCCAATAAGAGAGTTTCTTTATGTGATTCGATGACTTGTAGCTTCACAGGTACAATAATATCTTGAATAGCGATCTTCAGGTTTGTAATTTGTCCCAATGCTCGTGTTCAATTTCCATTGGCTGTAATTACTATTGTTTTGGAAGGTGTATCTGATTCCAATCCATGTCTATCCATGAGTTTCTTAGTAATAATGCTCACGGTGGCTCCAGAATCCAAAATTGCAATTATTGGAATATCCCTGATTCGAATGTAACATTTTTCAGCAGTGGTTCGATAGTGATCTTCATCAGATGCATAATTGGTCTCTACTGCTTGCTTAGGGTGTTTCAGGATTTTTACCAAATTTTTCCGTTGATTGGGATATTGTAACATTTGACCCAATGTTGCAGAGGCTTTTAGTCCCAAAATATCATCGGCAATATTGTATGGTGACAATTGGTCCACCACAGACGGTTGAGATTTCATTCTCGGTCATTTGGTTTTGATTGGTTGCACTATTTCTTTCTCAGGTCCTGATTCTTCAATTTCCATTGGTTAAGTCTCAGGGATAACTTTTCGTGTTCGCAGATTTAATTTCTTCTATAATTCTGATTGCTTCTGTTTGTTTTTAGCTTCCTTGCAATTGGTCAAATATGGTAGTCTTCCTCTTTGTCCCATATAGATTTCATTTTCTTCATCCTCCGATAATGAGTTTGCTTCCACAGTCAAATAATTAATCGGCTTTCTTGGTTTCGTGGGCTTTGATTGGATCTTTTCTGATAAACAGTTACATGCTATATGTCCAGGTTCTCCACATCGGAAACAAGTAATAGTTTTCTTTTGATTGGATGAGAACTGTGTGGAACGTCGGGCTTGTTTTTCCACTTGTGCTGAGAGCAGTTCAATTCGTTCAGCCAAATTTAATTGCATTTTCTCAAATTTCTTGATCAATTGGTCCATTGGATTCTCGGTGTTCTTGGCAGTATTGTATCGTATGGGTTGTACTGATGGTTCTTCAGAATTATTCATATCTTGTCCTGCTTCATATGCCAGAGCATATTCAATTGCTTCTTGAATGCTATTCGGATTATTCATAGAGATGATAGGAGCCAAGTGTGGTAGTAGTCCTCAAATGAAATATCGAAGCTTTTGATAATCGCCCATTTCTTTATGTAGGTCTACTCGTTTTATCAATTTCTTGAATGCAGCATAATAGGAATTAACAGGTTCGGTAGGTCCTTGTCTTCTCTATTCCAAGTCTCTGATCCACTTGTTAATCCATCGTTGAGTGCAGAATTCTTTTGTAAATGCTTTTCTGATATTTTTTCATTTCATTGTATCATTGTCTGCATGGTTCTTGTCATAATAAGTGGTTTACCATTCTTTTGCTTCATCCTGCAGGTATTCATTAAAAATTCGTAAGAGCCTTTCATTTTTCCAATTGTTGACTTTTGAGGCTTTTTCAAAGGCCGAGAGCCAGATAATTGGATCTTGAGTACCATCTCCATTGAACGGTTCAATTTCAATAATGTTTTGGTAAGTATTAGCCTTGAGATAGTTGAGAACATCCTGGAAAGTAGTCATATTGTCAGGGTTTTTAAAAAGAAGTTCTAAATCTAAAGAGTCGTTTGTAAATAAAAGGTTTCTTTGATATTTAAAAGATGGAGAGGAGGGTGGAGTCAGGTGACTTAAAAGATAGGGTAATAGATCAGGTGATTCAGAAGGGTTTTAAAGAGGATCGATTGTAAAGTATTCAAATTTTACTAAAGCTTGTGAAAAGGTAATAAGGACTTTATCAAAGGAAAGGGGTTGGGTATATCTTATAGAAAAGATAAGTTGTCTAATAATATGGTCTTGATTAATAAAAGAACAAGAAAGTAATCGTTGAAAATATTCCTGGGTCTTGGACATATAAGTGATAGCAGAAAATTCCACTTGGAGCCAATGCCAGAAGGTCAAGAAGGTAGTAATTGGTTCTTCAGGAGGATAGCAAAGTTTACAAGAATTATTTGAATAAAATGGATGCTCTTGATTGATATCACTATTTGAAAATAGCTTATGAAACTTGTCGTATAATTGATTAGTAATAAAATGTGTTTTAAAACTACTCATAAAACAAATACTCAAATCCTTTGCTAGACTTTGGATTCTGAATTACTGTTCTCACTCTTAACAGTAAATACTTCCAATACTGAGCAAAGATCCAATTTCTTTCACGTAGTTTTCCAATTTCACAAAGTGACTATCTCACAGTTATCACCAATTTGTCAACCTATCCAATAAACCTTAAAATTGAATAGATTAACGGATAACTGTAGCAGGGAGCCACTTAAGTTAGAGGAAATAGCCTCAGTTGTGATATACTAGAGTTGATAAGATAAAGGAATTCGGCAAGGTTTATCCAATATAAGGCAAGAGGCACGGTGATTTGAGTATAGGGTTTGATCGGTTTTTATTGAAAAGTTGGAAAGAGTTAGGAAAATTCCTTGGCCAGCTGGGAAGAACAGCTGTCCTATTTATACATCTTTGAATCATAAGAAAATAATGTAAACGATAGTATAGATATGCCAGTTCTGCCATGTTTGCTGGATCCGCTTGATCTCTCATATCAGCCATACCCAGCAGAAATGCCATATTCACATGATCTACTATAACTATATGATCTACCCTATATGCTATATATAACTAATATACTGGTTATAACATATACTAACTATGAGATAATAATAATAATAATAATAATAATAATAATAATAATAATAATAAAGAAATAATAAACCAAACTATTCTAAAAATAGAACTAATACTATTCACTATCATAATCATAACAGTAGAAAGGGAGGTATTACTTAATTTCACCAGAATCAGTGCATCACAAATGCCACGGCTCCAAAGCTCATTTACGGTATTTCATCGGTCAGCAAGAGGGATAGTGTTCATTTCGCAGTAAAAAAAAGTGATGAGACTAAATAGGAAAGAATTTTTTTGTGGCTTGTTTTTAAGTTACACATGTAAATAAACTGTCATTAAAAGCTGATGTTATTGGAGGTATGCAATTGGAAAATTTATATATACAGTTTACATCAATTTAAATTCTTATTATTTATGATAAGCACTATATAAGTTCTGCACTTGTTAATAATGGATAGATAATAATTTTATCTTGAAATTTGACTTTTTTCATTTTTTTAATATGCCAACTGAAGCCCATAATTTAGTTGTTATTTATTGATCTGTTTGTAAATATTATAAACTTTTTTCTTTTTTCAATTTTAATTTGAATTCTTTTAGTTCAGTTTGTTTTTTGTTACTTGTTTATACATATTTGTTAATTATTCAGTTATATGTTATATTTCTGTCAATTATAATTATATATAGTGTTAAAATATTGTAATTTGTCAATTGTAATATTATTGATACTTTTAATTTTAATTCTTTGTTAAAGCATATTATCTTTTGTTTCACAGGTGCTGGTTCTGCTTTTGTAAACTGATATGCAAATTTTATATTGTCTGAATTTGGAAATAATATTCTCCTTACTTATGTATGGTATCTATTGAATACACTAAATATTCTTAGTAATGATGAATTGTTTATTCTGTTATAGCATTGTACAATTATTATATTATTGTTGATTGTTTTCTTTCTTTTTATAATGTTTTGATTGTTTATATTGATTGTAATCTATTTGATTTTTTTTTGGTACTTCTATTACTGTCTTGTATTGTTTTGTTATGATTTGTATTTTTCTTTATTTGATTTCTGCATTAAATTTATACTTATTTGTGTTTTTTTGTACCAGTTTGGTTTTTTCTGATTGGATTTTTGTTATGATATATTACTTTAACCTATGCTACAAGACAGAATTTAAAGAAGTTTGTAAGTTAATTGATGAATATAATGTTCTTTTTCTGTTGTTTCCTATGGTGTTGTTACCATTGTAGTACTATTGTTTCTTCAATTACTGTATTAGTTTTAAGAATTATTTTGAGAGGTATGGATATGCCAATAATAGTAAATTGTTTGAAAAGTATAATAATGTTATGGGTAAGATCTTGTCTGATAGGAAGGAAGAGTTTTATTAGACATATACTAATGACTGGTATGGTAAACCACTATCTGTTTTATAGTTCTTGCAATCTCATATATGTAATCTGTTTAATTATATTCTAATCATTTATTTTTTTGTACCAGTTTTTTGTATATATTAGGGCCTGTTTATTTCAAATATTAAAAAAATCATATTCAAATAGATTATATAAAATAAAGTTTGATGCTATTTTTGCCAGTCCTATTTTGTGTTTATAGATTGTTTTTAGTATTTTTGTAAGATTGTTATATTGTGTTTCAGTAAATATTAAGTCTGATAATAAATATATAATTGCTGATATTAACATATAGTTGTATAAATATCTGAATTGTTTGTCTGTTATTGCTTTTTATTTGATCATATTCTTAAATTTTCTGATTTCTCTTTGATTAGCTGTTTCTGGAAATTCTTTTTCCTCCATCTTTGATATGAACTTCAAGAATTCATGCTAATTAGTTTAATTTGAGGGTTTTGATTTTTTAGTTTTGAATAATAATAATGTTATTATAGTTTTTTTTTGTTTATTATTGTAAGATTTGACTTACTATTATTAATGTTAATATTATTAATGCTATAGAAATCAAAGCATATGTTACAGATTAATTGTAGTTCTTGTTGACTTTGTGCAATAAGATTAATATTATCCATTGTTAGGGATAAAAGTTGAACTGATTAGGTTGCAAACACAATTTTGTATACTGCGTCTAATCAAGGTCTCAATCATAAATAGACTAAGTAAGTATGAAGTTTAAAAAAATAGAGTTACAACCATCATAAGTCTGGAATAGTCTATAGCAGTGAATCACAGGAATAACATTATAATAGTGAAAAGAGGAGAGTCATAAATAAATAGATAAGACAAAATAGAAAATAATGCAACAATTAATTAATAATAACATCACAAAGAGAGTGTAACAATTAATTAATAATTAGAGACAGTAGAGTTATGAAAAAGGAGTGCAAAATAAAGAAAAATCATTCCTAAATTAAAATATTTCTTTTTAGGCTGTATGATAAACACTGTCAAAAAAGAGAAAACTAATTAAATCTTATCTGAATCCAGTACTTATTATGAAAGAGAAAGATATCAAGATTCCCAGGAAATAGAAAAGTGGAAAGGTTATCAAGGAAGTGCAGTAACAGAAAGAGAAGAAAAAAAAAGATTAGAAAAAGTATTATTTTGATTAAGTCAATAATACATGCCTCAAGGAAGCCTTACTGTACTTATTGTTAATATGACATGAGCCTGTGACAGAAGTAATAGACTTGTTGAAAATAATCTCAATACCATATATACAATTGTTGAGATGTGTTATAAGATTTGTTATAATATTGTCATTGGATCTATCTATTGTTTAACCATGTATAGTATTGAGATTATTTTCAGTAAGTCTGTTGCTTCTGTTGCAAGCTTGCATCATATTAATGGTAAGTACAGTAAGGCTTTCTTGAGACATATATTATTGACTTGGCCAAATGGTACTTTTACTAATTCTTCTTTGCCTTCTCTTTCTATTGCTTATGCTTCCTAAATAATTTTTTCATTTTTCCTATTTCCTAGAAATCCTGATATCTTTTTCTCTCGCAGCAAGTACTGGATTCAGGTAAGATTTAATTTGTTTTTTCCTTTTTAGACAGTATCCATCATATAGCCTAAAAAATAATATTTCAATTTAGAAACAGTTTGTCTTTATTTCGCACTCCTTCCTTCTAACTCTATTGTCTCTAATTATTCTTATTATTATCTTACAGGTTATATTTATTATTATATATCAGGTTATACTTATTATTATCTATTATTCCCTTCTTTATTTCTTGTCTATTTATTTATTTATAATCCTACTCTTTTTTGCTATCATGATGTTATCTCTATGATTCACTACTATTGACTATTCTAAACTTATAAAAGTTGTAACTCTATTTTAAACTTTATACTTACTAAGTCTATTCATGATTGAGACCCTGATTAGACATGGTATATAAAAACCACATTTGCAGTCTAATTGGCTCAACCTTTATTTTTAACAATAGCCTAAGTGTTCTCTAGTAAGAAATAATATTAGTGGGTCATAAAATATTCTTCACAGAATAGGTAGGATTATGTTTCTTTTGATCTAGTTTATCTATTATTAAATAATAAAAAAATGGCCTAAAAATGTGATGATAATGTGATGATATAGTTTTATCTATTTGACAAATGTTTAGTATAATGTTAATAAACTTTCTTGTTTGCTGAATAATAGTTTTAAGTCTTGTAATATTGATTGAATCATATGCCTTGGCCATATTCAAACTTAGAATATATGTTGTTTTAGGTTTTGTTTGCTATTATTGATTATAGCTACAGGATTTATATTTAAGTTTGTGTATTGCTTTCTGACAGTGTTATTAGTCTGTCAGTAATGATTTTAGTGAATATTTTTTTAATTATTTTGAGTAGTATAATTGGTTTTATTATATTGATATTGTTTTTCTATAGTTTTGATTGGAAATAAAGTAGATGTTTTCTTATTTCCATTTACTAGAAATTTTTTCTATTTTAAAGATACTGTAGTATTAAATAATTCTATATGTATGTGATGGTTTTAAGTATAAGTTTTTTGAGAGTAATATATGAAATTTTTAATAGTCCTGCTATCAATTTAGATATTCTTGATTTAATTGTTTTTTGGATCTTTTTAGATATAATTGGAATTATGAGATTTGTATATTAATCCTTGTTTATTGTTTTTTTTTGATCTATATTCTTTTTTCCAGATTTGTTCTTTATATCTTTGATATTACATTTTTTATTCCATTCTTGATAGTATTTGTTAACTTTCTCTTTTATTTCTTGAAATGGTTGTTATTTCTTCTTCTAGATTTGAAGAGATTAGTTTATCAAGTATAATATATCTTTT